GTCAACATTTAATAGTTTCAAAATTATGCAATATTACCCAGAACATGTAGAATGACAATGTTAATATTTAATCATCGACTGTTCAAAACTATCAACTCTTTTTTTTTTATAGAGTTGAGCTTTATTGTGTGTGTGTTTTTTCTCTTCTTTTTTTGTATATCTGATAAGATACACCCTCCCTCTTGCTTCATATTTAAACCGAACTGTTTATAGAACCGTTCTTGTTAAACAGTGATAACAATGCTACACTGTGCTATTTACACTTTTTTTCGTTCACATATAACGTAACTATCTTGTAGTGGACTTTTACGAGAAGCGCTGACTTCTACAGTTGACATTTACTTGGACATTTAAACTTGTATCATGTACGGAAGTACAGAATTGATATTGCATAAGAAAATCTTTATAGTGATCATAGGTATGGTGTTAGGGGCACTTACATGTGAAGACCGGGAGTTGAGGCAAGTGAAATCATTGTTTTCTTCAAGGACAACTTAATTGTGCATTGAAATAACCCTTTGTTTTTGTTTACTTAAATGTTGAGCTAAACATTTATATCATAAAAGAGCTACCGTACATAGCTCTAGTGTAAAAGTAATCGTCAACTGTAAAAGTCAGCGCTCCTCGTAAAAGTCCAATAAGCGCTTTCTAATGTTTGTAAATAATTGCACTTTTTTTTTTTATTTTACGAAACTAACCATTAGAGTAGGACTTTGTCTTTTATGACTCGGAAGTAAACTTCCGACTCAGACTATGAATCGAAGACGTAGCTTTATTCGGTCTCCTAGTTCGCCCTTTAAAGGTATGCTTTTTGTTATTTTTTGCAAATATTTTCATTTTCTTTTCTTTGTTTCTTTGCTTGTTATTTTTGGCTCTTTAACATTTTGTATTAGTTTGTCACACAATCGTAGCACTGCAGTTGGTAAGGTTTTTGTAGACTTTTTCAATTTTGATGTCGTTTGAGTTATCAGTTATTTCACTTAACGTAAGAGGGCTTGGCGCAAAAATAAAGAGACTCGGTATTTTTACATGGCTAAAAAATTCCTTTAAAAACAGTTTTATATTTTTACAAGAAACGCACTCAGCCTCAGAGAATGAAAGTCAGTGGTTAAAGGATTGGGGGTCTGGTATAGAGTTCAGTCATGGTGAATCCAACAGCAGGGGAGTAGCTATTCTTTTTCCTCATAATGTAGATTATATTATTAAAGAAAAAGTACAAGATAATGAAGGTAGAATTATACAAGTCAAGTTAATGATAGATGAAACCAACTTTATTTTAACTAATATTTATGCTCCAACAAAGGATAAGCCAAATTGTCAGGTGGATTTTTTTCAATTCATTATTGGCCTACATAGAACCGTATAGCTTTGAAAATCTAGTCATTGGAGGGGATTTCAATATTACTTTAAATCCATCACTAGATAAAAAAGGTGGTACTACTGAAGGAAAATCTTACTATAGAGATAATATTTTAGCTGCACTAGAAGATCTTTATTTATCATATATATGGAGAGAACAAAACTCAGATAAAAATTATTATACATATTCATGTATAAACTGTTTAAACTGTTTATTACCAGATCTGCTATTTCAGGCCAAAAGTACTTATAGAATTCAAACTGAAGTCCATCACTTCCTGGAGATTTATTTGGTTTACTGTACCTGTTGAATGCATTTTTACGCAAAATATTAATAAAGGATCGTTTAATTCCTTAGTTTGAACTGAATTGAATTGTTTTAGCCATGATAATAAAGTTACCCCTTTCAAATTTTGAAAGCTATGTATGATTTCAAAATAAATAAAACGCCTATAATTTATGCAGAATCCTGTATATTAGAATAAAGTATCTTATTATCCTAGCTTTACTCTTAGGAATTAATGTCTCAAAGACCACTGATTGGTTTGGTATTCTTCCACAAACACAGTCTATAGAATTAATTGAGCTGTATACAGTCGGAACATGGGTGTGAAAGGTAGAAATGTCCTACGACATTGAGATACAGGGAGTCGTCTATGCGTGACGACCGACAATCTGACCAACAGTTAGGATAAGTAGAATAGAAAATTCTTCAGATTTTGAGATGTACCTAAAATTTTGCGCTTGAGACTGTGAAAATATGTAGAGAAAAGCCGGGTAGTCACGTATAATGTTATAAATAGAACACAATACCTTACATCATCACTCAGGTATAGTGTTATAAATAGAACACAACACATATCACCACTCAGGTATAGTGTTATAAATAGAAAACGACACCCAACATCAACACCCAGGTATAGTGTTATAAATAGAACACAACACACTACATCATCATTCAGGTATAGTGTTATAAATAGAACACAACACACTACATCATCATTCAGGTATAGTGTTATGAATAGAACACAACACACTACATCATGACTCAGGTATAGCGTTATAAATAGAACACAACACACTACATCATCGATCAGGTATAGTGTTATAAATAGAACACAACACCCTACATCATCACTCAGGTATAGTGTTATAAATAGAACACAACACACTACATCATCACTCAGGTATAGTGTTATAAATAGAACACAACACACCACATCATCATTCAGGTATAGTGTTATAAATAGAACACAACACCCTACATCATCATTCAGGTATAGTGTTATAAATAGAACACGACACACTACATCATCAATCAGATATAGTGTTATAAATAGAACACAACACACTACATCATCATTCAGGTATAGTGTTATAAATAGAACACAACACCCTACATCATCACTCAGGTATAGTGTTATTAATAGAACACGACACCCTACATCATCACTCAGGTATAGTGTTATAAATAGAACACAACACACTACATCATCATTCAGGTATAGTGTTATAAATAGAACACAACACCCTACATCATCACGCAGGTATAGTGTTATAAATAGAACACGACATCCAACATCAACACTCAGGTATAGTGTTATAAATAGAACACAACACCCTACATCATCACTCAGGTATAGTGTTATAAATAGAACACAACACCCTACATCATCACTCAGGTATAGCGTTATAAATAGAACACAACACCCTACATCATCACTCAGGTATAGTGTTATAAATAGAACACAACACCCTACATCAGCACTTAGGTATAGTGTTATAAATAGAACACGACACCCTACATCATCACTCAGGTATAGTGTTATAAATAGAAAACGACACCCTACATCAACACTCAGGTATAGTGTTATAAATAGAACACAACACCCTACATCAACACTCAGGTATAGTGTTATAAATAGAACACAACACCCTACATCAACACTCACGTATAGTGTTATAAGTAGAAAACGACACCCTACATCATCACTCAGGTATAGTGTTGTAAATAGAAGACAACACCCTACAGCATCATTGAGGTTCTAGTGTTATAAATAGAACAAGACACCCTACATAACCACTCAGGTAAAGTGTTATAAATAGAACAAGACACCCTACATAACCACTCAGGTATAGTGTTATAAATAGAAGACGACATCTTAAATCACCACTTATGTATAATGTTATAAATAGAAAACAATACCCTACATCATCACTCAGGTATAGTGTTATAAATAGAACACATATCAACACTCAGGTATAGTGTTATAAATAGAACACGACACCCCACATCATCACTCAGGTAAAGTGTTACAAATAGAACACACCTCTCTACATCATCACTCAGGTATAGTGTTATAAATAGAACACGACACCCTACATCATCACTCAGGTATAGTGTTATAAATAGAACACAACACACTACATCATCACTCAGGTATAGTGTTATAAATAGAAAACGACACCCAACATCAACACTCAGGTATAGTGTTATAAATAGAACACGACACCCTACATCATCACTCAGGTATAGTGTTTTAGATAGAACACAACACCCTACATCAACACTCAGGTATAGTGTTATAAATAGAACACGACACCCTACATCATCACTCAGGTATAGTGTTATAAATAGAACACAACACACTACATCATCACTCAGGTATAGTGTTATAAATAGAAAACGACACCCTACATCAGCACTTAGGTATAGTGTTATAAATAGAACACAACACCCTACAGCACCACTCAGGTATAGTGTTATAAATAAAACACGACACCCTACATCATTACTCAGGTATAGTGTTATAAATAGAACACAACACACTTCATCATCACTCAGGTATAGTGTTATAAATAGAACACAACACCCTACAGCACCACTCAGGTATAGTGTTATAAATTGAATTCGACACAAGGTTCATCATCTTCACTAGCTAACGGTTTCTCATTTGCTACTCTTTTCGTATATCATTACCAACGTTTTTTAAATAAAATGGATTTTTTTTTTATTTCAGCGGATAAATTCCTTCAACGAATCAGCAATTACTTTTTAAAGTAACAAATCTGCGTACGGAATATATCTTGAAACTTTAATCTTAGGATTAAAAATCGCAAATGAAAATTACGATCCGTAAGATAACATGTTTTTGTGTGAATTGCTATGGTGTCTTTCGGTATCTTATGTTTTGTGAAAAAATATGTGATTCTTTTGACAGCACCATAGGCAAAGGATTTATGAGGAGAGTAGCATGATTTCATTTTTAGAAATGAAACATTCTTTACTATTTTATTTTGTAACACTTTAAAAAAAGAAAAAGAATACTCTATTAGAATATTACCATTTCGTGACAGGGAGATGTATGAATTGAATTCTGTCCAAACCATGTATTTAGAACATATTATACAGGTCAGTATCTTTCATTATCAGAGTACAAATAATCCAGTTTTGATTCCTGCTATACTTTGATTGAGACATTAATGACAGCATTAAGTTTTAGTTCCTTTGTAACAAGTTTAATTTATTTACATTTTAATTTAGTTTACCAGTACTTTTAATAACTTAATAATTCTATTTCAATAAGCCACATAGAGATAATCTAAGTTATGAACAGTTTATGTTTCCCAGTACATATTGTTTACATGTATTTAATTTTCTTCAATTTTCCACTGAAACACTTGACAACAAAGAGGTTGTCTCTGGTGTCTACACACAAACCCCACGGACGCTGTAAATCACAGTTATCAATGTAACGGAGGAACTGTCCATCCTGATCTAGGATGTGGATACAGTGGTTGTTACAGTCTGCAGTCAGGATCTGACTCTGGCTGTCTGTTGTGATGCCACGCGGATGGAAAAATCCTTTGGTAGAAGAGGGAGGACCAGTGTATTTAAATCGATGTTTTCCTGCCTGATTTACCACAAGCACTGCTTTGGCTCCATAGTCAGCAACACATATATCAAGGTTCCTGTTTTCACTGATATGGTATGCGGATGAATACAGAGGTTTACCTTCACTATCAAATTGAATGGTTTGTTTCTCTGTGTAGTCAGAGTAACGAACAACTTTTGATTGTTTATAATAATCACTGACCACGATAACCAGGAGGTCACCAGAGGAGGTACTACAGACATAGTAAGGTTTCCACCCCTGTAGTCTGATCACTTCCTGTATCTGGTCATTATTCACTATGTTTATAGTTCTTGTACCACGATCACTATAAACTAAATCTCCCCTCATTGTTACTGCTATATCACATGGTTCATTCCCTGATTTGGTTTTGACTGACCTTAGTAGTTTACCCTGGAGGTTGTAGAGTTTCATGATTTTTTCATCTCCACATGTCCAGATTTCTTCATCATTGAGACAGTCGATACTGTATAAGTATTTATACCAAGTGTCTATGGTTGTGATGAGCTTTGGTTCATCAAGCAGTGGTTTGACTGGAGGACAGGATACAGCTTCTGGTGTCTTCATTGTGTAGCCATGTTCTTCTGTTGTAATGAATAATGCTGACAGAGAACCAAACATTTGATGGAACTGTTCTGTGTTTATCTGATGAGGAGAGAAACTTGGTATTGAAACATTGAATTTAGGAGGTAAACTTCTGAATTCAGCATTTCTGGATTTGTATGCCAAGGTTAGGGAGACATCATTAGAGTCCAGTATTTTCCTCAACTCAATTATGCTCTGTTTTATATCAGAAGTGTTGTGCGTAATATCATTTTCATGTTTATGAAGAGCAGCCAGGTGTTTGAATTTCATCTCAATAATTTCAGTTTTCCGTTTGTCGACAATGATGTTAATTTCTTTGTGAATGTGTTCTCCTTGTTTGGTGACAGCTGTCGTCAGTTTCTCATAATGTTTTTCCAAGTGTACTATTTCAGAGTCTACATCTAATTTAATCTCTTCATATGTAGGATATATTTTTCTCTCTAGTTCTTCCAAGGCATTTTCTAAAGCTTTTGTTTTGGAACTAAGTTTTTGTAGAGCATCAGAAAAATCGTGCCCTTTATGTTTCCCAGAAGAAATGCACGCAGAACAGACAGGAATGTCACATTTCTCACAGTAAAGTTCACAATGTTTGTGGTTGTGGTTTGGACACTTTGGATAATTAGGTGTAGAAGTTCTGTGTTTGTATGGTACAACATTATGTCTGTGAGATGAATTAGAGAGATGTTTTCCAACACAAACTACACAAAGGTTTACATTGCAACATTCACAATGACTCTGTAATGCAGCTTTTTGACACAGGTCACAGAGAAGGATGTCTTGGGCACTGTAACGGGGGTCCATTACCGTTTTGGTCAAATAATTAGATAATTCTGTAACAAAAAGTTAAAGGGGACTTAGATCACTTGATAAAAGTTTTGGGATGTGTTTGTGACATTCTGAGAGAGTAAAGCAGTTTGGAAATGACCCTAGGGAAATATTGATCAGTAAATACAGTAAGAATATGCTCTGTACGTTCTGTTTATATATTTTTAGGAAGAACGTTTGACATTTGCAATTTTTGGTGACTTATATAATTAGAATAATTTGTTATGTGGTTCTTTTCGTGTTTTTGATTTATTGTTTTTAACTGTCATTAATAAAAACAACTAGGGTAATGCCTTGTTACATGGGAGATTAACTAAATATAATCTTGTCTCACCTCTAAACCCAACAAGACGTCCCTGATAATCCTGTACATCACAATTTACTTCCTTATCTTCATTGTAAACATTTACCTGGTTACCATGCCACGTGACTTAACTACCCAATTTATGAATATCTCTCTGTGTAGAGATGGATTAAAATTATAAGTTCAGATTCACAATAAATGGATGGTTATTTTAAACCCACAAATTAAGCTTTAAAGCATGTTAGACTCCGCCGTCCGTCTAATTGCATTAGGCATTTATGGTTGGGAAATCATCTTTTTTAAACTACCCAAATTATTTATTCCAAGCTCTTTAGAATCGATTTATACTATTAATACTTGTGAACATAGCATTTTCAGATTGATATTATAGAATAGTTGTGATTTTTTTGATCAGTATGGGAGGAGTGAAATTCTTGTCTTGGAAAAAAATATTGTAACCTCGTATCTAAATAACTATATACCTAATCAAAAAGTAGAATGTGACCTGAAATGTTTTTGACCTTGTACTACTGCAAAATATTTAATTCAATTTAGAGTATTAAAGTATGAAGTTATTGATGCCTTGTAATAGCCAGCGTTGGTTTTACGACTTAAAAAAGTTAGTAAAAGTGTGTACCTTAGGCAAAGGTTGCATTTAACTCGAAAGTATTCTTTACCCTTATCAAAGGTAATTTGGAAAAGGTAAAGGTCACAGGTTATAAAATATAAAAATTAATCTTGCAAAAGTCATTACGTTTATGTTGATGAACACAGAGGATTGGACTTGATAAAAAGGATCCATATGAATTGAGGGTATGTAACAAACTTGCACAAGTCATTTGCACCAGGACAAGTTCAAAGGGTAAAAGTGCAAAATATTATCAGTATGAAATTTTTATGAAAGTAGATTCAAAGATTGTACACGTATTTTCTTTTGTAGGTAAAGGGTTGAATATGATAATGGGGTATGATATGACTAATATGAAAGGTCACTTAGACAACGTCAATATCACAGATTTTAGAAAGACATCATAGAAATGTAAAAAATCTATAACAAAGAACTCTCAGAGGACGAAATACCGCCTTTAAGCAATCGCTTAATGGTTCCTTAATGGTAGATTACAAGAATTAATTGCTTTAAGCCACCATGAAGCTGCATCCTACAGGTGCACGTACATTGTCAAACTTCATTAAGATACCATTAAGCTTTAAAATGTTTTGATCAAAATAAAAATGGAAAAAATAATAAAACAGAAAAAAAGAAAATCCTCACTGACCAGTGATTTAATAAAAATATAGAAAATTATTTATCAGGAAATTGCATAATGTATTAAGTAAAAAGTATAAAGGTATTATTATCTAGTTAATTTGGTATGCTAAACAATCAAGGTAGGTTAAAATTTATTTGAGGGTAATTTGAATAACGTTTGAAACCTGCAGCTGTGATACATCTATTAACCCACGTTTTCACCGTCAATGAAGTACTTCCATGCCCTAAAAAACTAGACAATTAGTAGAATTGAAACTAAAATAAAAAAAGATACCCCGGTATTGTCTGAAATGAAAAAAAAAGAAATGTAAAAAAGAGTAAATACACTACCCGAATACATATATAGTTATGTAGTAAGAATTTGGCGCTTTAAATAGCGAATTGGAAGAATAGTGGCTCATAAAAAGAAATAGAAAATTGATTTACACCTCTTTTTAAAAACCCCTCCCTTAACAGTGTTGTTAATGTAAAATGTGCTAATATTCAATTGAATGTTTGATTTGATTTATTTATGCAGCTGTATATACCTGCACAAATAAAAGGAGAACTTTGGCTCTTTTTAAACAGTTTTTCATTTTTTGGTCGATCTGGGTCTTCTTTTCATGAGTTCGACATCCGTTATCAGTCTATTTGGTAACCCTAATTTTTTTAACCAGTTGTTTACAAAATGGAGAGACTAACCAGAAATACCACACTTTTTCTATTTCTGTAAAAAGACTGTGTAGAAGTGTGTAAGAGTGTGACTTTAAATAATGATTAAATGATTAAAATCCTTATAAATGTATATAATGTCTTGGGTACCTACATTGGATTATCGCTGGAATCCAGTCTCATCTGTGTAACATTTTAAGTTTAAATACCGTGAAGTATTTTCTTTCTTTCTTTCTTTTGCTTGGGTGTATTGATTTCGTAGAAAATAATTAATCATGAATTAAGTTGGAAAGTGTACATTGTTTTATTTTGCAGTGTGTTCCCATTTGGTCATTTATAGTGGGAACGTTGCCAAATAGAAATAAACATTCATGCACTTGTAAGTATAAAGTTACTGATGAACCGTATCGAATATATGTTTTAAAACTTTAGCACCCTCGATCGTTCTGTTGCACTCAGCATTGTCAATGCATTTGAAAAGTAAATATAATAGGTATACTGAAAGACAAAGAAACGCATAATAGCATAATAGCAAAATATATTTAACTATATGGCCGAAAATTATGAAAATTGGTCAAATGTGTATTTTGATTACTGTGCACTAAAATTGCTAGTCAATATTACTCAACCATGAAACGTATGGCGTCACGTAGGGGAAATTATAAAAAGCCAAAAACACGTGCATGTTGATGATGACAATTTTATGAACACATTTTGTGGTGCTAATCGATGCATTGGAGTTCTAGACATCGTTTTCCGCATTTGCAATCAGTATAAATTTCGTGCAATCATGGTATGGCTGACGGAAGTTACACTGGTTCCAGTAATTGAATTGCGTAAGTGAATAAAAAAACAACAAGATGTTGCTGTGCAGTTTGTTTTAAACTTTTCAACAAAAAAGGGTTTTTTCAGTTGTCAGAGAGTAAATTGAAAGGTTTCCAACCAACCATGGCGGTGACGTTGACACGTAACAACGTCACATCAAGACAGGGCTTTTCATCATATCACCTCGGTTGTTGTCAAGGTATTATCACTGAAACCGATATTTATACAGCAAACTATCATACCAATATTTTCACCCTAAAATTGACAGAAATTCTCTGCTTTAATTTGGTCCGCGAGCTTGGCAACTTTTACGTCGACTTTACTCTCACGCGCGCACGTACGCGTCGTGTCCGCAATGTTTTTAGTATGTTCACACTGGGAAAATGTAGCCAGTGTTTGGAGAATTTCTCAAAAACATTCACGTGTACCAAACCAGCTGGATTCTGTAAATTCTATCCTAAAATGAAAATTCGTGGCACTCATTTGGCGGGGGGATTTGTTGGCTTTAGAATAATACAGCTTCTATCAACCATTAAGACTATTGTCGGAAGAGTTGAATAATAATCAAATGAGAAAGATAAATGCTCTGGTGAACTCAATGCACAGGAAAATCAAGGCTGTTACCAATGTGCAAGGGAGATGATGAGAATTTTTATTTTAATTTTGGGGGGGGTATCGACATATCAATTTCAATAACTCAGGAATTATCAGTCAAAATCACGCAAGATTTTGGTAACTTGTTGATTAAAGATGAATTAAAATGTATGATAACAATGCTGGAAAACATATTCGAAATAATAGTTTTAATTTAATTTAAAAGTAAAATATGCGTTTCTTTTTCCTTTCAGTATATTTAGTGTCGTGTTTCTATTGTATTTCATAAAACGTAACCAGCGTAGATAGCTAATGATCAAGGTGCCTCTTTATTAAAACAATTATTTTAAAAGTAAATGCATACGGCGTATCAGGACCTTCATCACCCGTATTATCATCTGCAATACAACTTCTTTGATGTCCCAAGACTACTTGTCTGCAATGCAAGTTGGTTTTCCAGTCTACGGTGAATAAGCAGTTGAAGCAAACATCTATGGGCTGTAGTTCATGCCTTGTAGTTTTCACAAAAAGGCCGCTGTTAATATGTAAATGACTAAAGTGCATCAGTAAAAGAAGACCCAGAAGAAGTAAGCTAGGCCACCGCAGTCGCTAGAGCGCTTTTGTATGAACCATACTGGTGGAAAAGCTTGTTCCGAGCTTTTCTTTGCAGCCTGAGGGCTTGGCAATCAGCGCTTCTCATTTTCCTCTCCTTGACAGAATGCCCGGCAATTTCTCTGGACTGATACTCATTTACCGTCTTCCACCCTGAAGTAAGCTGGGGTACCGAGTCTGTCGCTGCCGTCCCTGGAGAGCTACTAAGACGCCCAATAGAAACGCTTGTTCTGACCTTGCTTTTTTATCCGAATGGAGTATTTACCCGAATCCTTTTGAGGGCTTTTCTCTTTTATCATCAGAGTTGTCGGCAAATTCTCAGGTCTGATTCTCATTTACTGTCTTTCACCTTGCGGTAGAGGAATAGACAGTACAAATGTATATTTCTGGCAACCCCCCCCCCAACCCGTTTTTCTAGATCCTTAAATAATTTAAGCATTAAAGTCCTTCTGAGCACAATTCCCTTCCCTTGAATGTTTAGAAATTTATTTGAATTTTTAGCAATGGACAGAATGAAGACAGAATTCCTGTAACAGGCTTCACCATGTCCGAAAAAATCTAACAAGGATGGTCACCAGTTTCCTTAGGAAATCTGTTATAGTCGTTGGCTTCTAACAAATTTTTATCTCAGGTGACACCCATGACAAAATATTGAGAAAGACAAAAACGTGTGTATACTGCACAAAACAAGCCTTCGAATGACTTTCCCTATAGATACTAAATTTCCTTAATGTTCACTAATGGCCTGTGCTATGAATATTTATGTCACCTGAGTAAATGACAGTCCAAACGGCCGATAGATGAAAAGTGACAAACAGAGTGCTTGAGTAGCATTAATAAATACGGATTTAATACTTATACATGCTTAGGAAATATTGAGATATTTGAAAAATCAAGAGTACACCAGGTTTAACATTATGCACTTTTAATTTCTGTCAAAAAGTAATTCAGATTTTAATAACATCATTTAGTGTTCAGCTACTATGTAATATGTTCATTTTAGTTTTTACATTTTATTGCAATTAACAAGTACTTAAATTGTCATTCACATTTTCTTTCACTCGCCGATAGAGCTATTTTCTAAGTTGCAAACAGTAACTATGTTAACATATTGTTTACATTATTTGATTTTCTTCAACGAACAACTCGAAAACGTATTCTCAGCCTCAAAAAGATTGTCTCCAGTGTCAACACATAAACCAAATGGAGACTGTAGATCACATTTACCAATGTAACGGAGGAACTGTCCGTCCTGATCTAGGATGTGGATACACTTATTGTTCTTGTCAGAAATGAGGATCTGACTCTGGTTGTGATGCGATTGGAGCTAATGATCCATCCGTAGAAGAAGGAAGGATGACCAGTGTATCTAAATCGGAGTATTCCTGTCTGATTAACCACCACTACTGCTTTGGCTTCCCAATCAGCTACACATATATCCATGTTTCTGTTCTCACTGACGTATTCAATAATATGAGCTGAATACAAAGGTTTGTCTTCACTATCAAACTGAATGGTTTGTTTCTCTGTGGAGCCAGAGCAACGTGCAACTTTGAATTTTTTATAATCGTTACTGCCCATGGTAACCAGGAGGTCACCAGAGGAGGTACTACAGATGTTGTAAGGTGTCCATCCCTGTAGTCTGATCACTTCCTGAATCTGGTCATCTGGTAATTCTTCACTATGTTTACAATTCTTGTATCGATTTCGGTAAAAACTAGATCTCCAATCCATGTCACTGCTATGTCACGTGGCCAGTCCCCTGAGCTGGTTCGGACTGACTGAAGAAGTTTACCCTGGAGGTTTTGGAGTTTCATGATTTTATCTCCTCCACAGGTCCAGATTTCTTCATCACTGAAAGAGGTTACACTGCATTGTCTATATTCAGTGTCTATGGTCGTGAGGAACTCTGGTTCATCTAGCAGTGGTTTGGCTTGGGGACAGGGTACAGCTTCTGGTGTCTTCATTGTGTAGCCATGTTTGTCTGTTTTAACGGATAATGCTGACAGAGAACCAAACATTTTATGGAGCTGTTCTGTAATGATCTGATGAGGAGAGAAACTTGGAAATGATATAGTGATTTTTGGAGGTAAACTTTTGAATTCAGCATTCCTAGATTGGTATGCCAAGGTTTGGGAGACATCATTGTAGTCAAGTATTTTCCTCAGATCCAGGATGCACTGTTTAACATCAGTGGTAATCTGTTTGATTTCATTTTCCTGTTTGTTTAGAGCATGCAGGTGTTTAGTTTTCATCTCATCAATTTCCGATTTTCGTTTGCTAACAATGATGTTAATTTCTTTGTTCCAATCTTCTCCATGTTTAGTGACAGCCGTTGTCAGTTTATCATAATGATATTCCAAATTTTCTCTTTTAGATTTTTTATCTAATCTTACGCAGCACAGTTAAGGTTACAGTAAGGAGGCGGGGCCTAATTTGTACGGGAAATGTTTACTATGACGTCACACATAATAAAAGGTCTTCAAAATACCACAAAATGAAATTATTTGCTATTTCAAACAGCTGGATAGCTGTATACTACATACAAACTAATTATTACATGCAGTTTGTTAAATCCCACACAACAGTATATAAACGATGCATCGATCGCAATGCACTTCTCAATGTGACGTCATCTCGCAAAAATGACGCAGTTTGTACACAGTGAGAGGCTGATCAAGTCACATTTTGTACAATGAAAAATGTCTTTTGTTCTCAAATGAAATATTATTTGCATTAAAATAAAAAGCCGTTAACTTGGATGTGATGTCTATTTCAGTATTTTATTTATAAACTATACATGCATTCTCCAGACAAGCGATACTTTCGTGTGTTTGTATGCAGATTCATTGAAAAGGTATCTAAAAGGCCCTAATAAATCGATTTATTGCAAGGGCATACCCTCAATGTATCTTGTTAAAATTTTACACAAAAACTGAAGAAGCATTCAGATATTTGAAAAGTGCTGCGAACCTCTTGAAATCATGCAAATAAATTAATTATAGTTATATTTAATGTAGTTGACCAGCAAAATATTCAACCTGCCGTCCAACAAATTAAATTTTACTAATTGAAAAAGGGAATCTATATAGGTTCGCAGCACTTTTCACAAACTACATATATTGTTGAAAAGGATTATACAATAAACTAAGATTTTTAATTTGGCTATGCCCTTGCAATTGTTATGGGTCAGAATAACCCTAAATGCCAGCAAAGATCAATCACACAGTTTAAACTTAACAATAATTTATTTACAGTAATATACAAATCATTAAGTACAAACTTAGCAAGAATCTAAGAATACATACATCAGAGTGTCCGTTGCTGCACACAATGTCCCAGTGAAATTATATCCCAGTAATACCTCAGTGATGCTTGTACGACAATTGTATCTATGCATCGAGTTGACAGGGTATTTATACAGTATCATAAATCTAGAATATTCTAGAAATTGTAAGTACATGATATTACTGGAAAGTTCTGGACATACACAAAGTTCAGGATTGTTCTAGAAACAATGACCGAACATGTTGACCACTCTGGAATGTTCAAGAAACTTAATGTTACTAATAATAGACATGATGAAACAATACAAATACAACACATCTCACAACACCTCCCCCCTTAAAAAGTTTGAATGTCAATGAAAAACTTAAATTGTAAAACATATGTACATTAATACAAAAATCTAATTTGTTTATGATACTCTGGACAAGGCATCTGCAATAACATTGTCTTTGCCTTTGATATGCTTAATTGTTATGTTGTATTCTTGTAACAACAAACTCCATCTAGTCAGTCTTTGATTCTTGTTTGACAATTTATGCAAAAATGTCAGGGGGTTGTGATCCGTATATACAAGAATTGGATGCAAAGTAGCATTCAAATAAACATCAAAATGCTGTAAGGCTAACAACAAAGCAAGGCATTCCTTTTCAATGGTGGAATAGTTTTGTTGACATTTTGTAAGTTTCTTTGAAAAATAAGAAACAACTCTATCTACACTATCACTATGTTCTTGAAACAAAGCTGCCCCGATTCCAACATCACTAGCATCAACAGTAAGCTTAAATTGCTTAGAAAAATCTGGAGTTGGCAAAACTGGGTTGCTCATAAGGACAGATTTGATTTTATGAAAGGATTTTTCACAGTCCTTTGTCCATTCAAAGTTAACCCTATTTTGTAAAAGATTTGTAAGTGGACTAACTACTGAGGAAAAATTTGGACAAAATTTTCTGTAAAACCCAGCCATGCCCAAAAACCTCATTAACTCTTTCTTGTTTGTAGGAATCGGGAACTTTGCAATAGCTTCCACTTTAGCCATAATTGGTGTAACATAACCTTGACCTACTTTATGACCTAAATACTCTACATAAGCATGACAAAATTCGCTCTTCTCAAGGTTCACAGTTAAGTTTGCTTTAGCTAAAATGTCAAATAAAACACGCATGATTCGGAGATGTTCGTCCCATGTGTCGCTGTATATGACGACATCATCAATGTAGGCCTCGCATCCCTCGAGGTCTTGAAGGAGGGAGTGAATCATCCTTTGGAATGTAGCCGGTGCGTTTTTCATGCCAAAAGGCATTACTTTATACTGGTAAAGTCCATCTGGTGTAGCAAAAGCAGATATTTCTTTTGCTCTTTCTGTTTACGGTACTTGCCAGTAGCCTTTCAACAGGTCAAATTTACTGACAAATTTCGCGTTTCCAATGTTGTCAATGCAGTCATCGATTCTAGGTATTGGATATGAATCAGTTTTGGTAACAGAATTCACCTTTCTAAAGTCTGTACATAATCGGTAGGAACCGTCCTGTTTTGGTACAAGAATACACGGTGAGCTCCAATCACTTTTACTAGGTTCAACAATGTCATTGTCCAACATATACTGCACTTCCCTTCTTAGGTACTGCAATTTTATTGGATTGAGACGGTACGGATGTTGTTTGATAGGCAGAGCGTCGCCAACTATAACATCATGACAAGCTGCATTAGTTTTCTTTGGAACATCCGAGAAGATTTGATGGTACTCATTCATCAAGTTTTTAACTTGTTCTTTTTGATGAATGTTCAAATGTCCAAGTTTGGCATCAAAATTAGCCAAAACTTCTGAGTTTTTCAAACGAACACTCTGATTACAATCTTTCTCATTCATTTCTGCACTCATATCACTTTCAATACAATTTTGAACAGTCTTAGCATTGGCTAAAGTGGAAACTGGTTTTACAGAATTTCGGTCACACCTTTCAAAATACTCTTTTAACATGTTAATGTGACAAACCCGTTTCTCTTTACGTCGACCTGGTGTCTTAACTACATAGTTTACATCACTGATCTTGCTTTCAATTTCATAAGGGCCATAAAATCTGGCCTGTAAAGGATGACCAGGAATAGGTAAAAATACAAGAACCTTATCACCTGGATTAAACACCCTATTTCTGGCATCTTTGTCATACCACATTTTCATTTTCATCTGAGAACTCTTCAAATTTTCTTGTGCTAATTTACAAGCATTGTAAAGTTTTTCTTTGAAATCAGACACATAATCTAAAAGATTAAGATCACTAGTCTCAGTCAGCCACTTTTCCTTCAACAATTTCAAAGGACCTCTAACTGTATGACCGAACACCAATTCAAAAGGACTGAACCCAAGAGACTCCTGGACTGCTTCTCTTGCAGCAAACAGCACAAGATGAACCCCTTCATCCCAGTCTTTTTCATACTGGTAACAATAGGTCTTCAGCATTGTTTTTAGGGTTTGATGAAAACGTTCTAGCGCTCCCTGGGACTCAGGATGATAAGCAGTTGATCGATACTGCCTAATACCCAACTCATGCATGACTTGCTGGAACAACCCCGACATAAAATTTGAGCCTTGATCTGACTGAATTGCCTTGGGTGCTCCTACAAAACTGAAAAACTTGGTAAGGGCCTTAACTATGCTCTTTGCCTTTATATTCCTTAGAGTTATGGCTTCAGGAAATCGAGTGGATGTAAACATAATGGTAAGTAAATACTGGTTTCCAGATCTAGTCCTAGGCAAAGGTCCAACACAATCCACCAACACTCGACTAAACGGTTCTTCAAAAGCTGGAATGGGTTGGAGAGGAGCAGATGGTATCTTCTGATTTGGTTTACCTACCATCTGACAGACATGACACGACTTAAAAACTCAGAAACATCCTTCCTTAGCTTAGGCCAATAAAAATGTCTCAAAATCCTATTATAAGTCTTATTGATACCTAAATGACCAGCCATAGGGGTATCGTGAGCTAAACTCATGACATCTCGACGATAAGCAGCTGGAACCACTATCTGGTGAACAACAAGCCACACATCATCTGGGGAAGCGTCAGGTGGTCGCCATTTTCGCATAAGGATGCCATCTTTCATATAGAAGCATTCTCCAACTTTAGTAGCCTCTTCTGGTGGAAGTGCCCTCTTACTAAGTTGAATGATATCTGGGTCTTTATGTTGTTCAGAGAGTAGACGTTCTCGGCTGAGGATGTCCTTGCCTTGGCTAACTAATGGATGCAACTCATCATCCTCACCACCAAATTTTGATAAAGGTTCCTTCATCACCGACTTCTCGATATTGTGTGGTTCCATGTTTGTTTGAGTGCCATCAAGGTCAGATAGGAAAGTGTCATTCAAATCAATATCAACAGAGGAATTCGTCTCGTCAAAGGCTTGAGTATGGTCTGCCTCCATTTCTCGTCTTCTGGCCATCGCTCTAGTAACAGCACAGGCTGGATAAATGTCATCATCTTTATCATCGCACATAACATCTGGAGTGATTTTCTCACAAACTGTAGGATCTGGTACAACTTTTCCACCAGCTAAATCGTTGCCTAGCAACAAAGAAATGCCTGGAACGGGAAGAGTAGGTCGAACACCTACGATAACAGGTCCAGTAACTAAATCTGACTTCAAACTAATTCTATGCAGGGGAACATCAATGACGCCTAGCTCCACACCCTGTAATAAAACTGACCCACCAGTAGAAGTCTGCTCAGACAAAGGAAGCACGCCCTCTAACAATAACGTCTGTGCAGCACCAGTATCTCTCAAAATCTGGACAGGTTTTATTTCGCTAGAGTCACCGAGTGAAACAAATCCCTGAGACATAAAGGGCTTATAATCCTCCATAGAATCAATAGAACTGGACTGTGAACCCTGGACATCAGGAGTGTCAGAACAAATCGAACCTAAGGTTTCTCTATCACCTCTAACTGCAGCACAAGCATGTGGCTGAGTTTTATCAAAGTCATTTTTTCTCTTAAGTTTAAAGCATTCACTGATCAGATGACCTTTTTTCTTACAATAACTACAAGTAGGAAGCGACCCTATTCCAGAAGATCCTTCAAAACGTCCTGGACCGGACTTAGAACCACCTTGGGATGGAGACTGGGAACTTGTGAAAGACTGAGACCCTGAACCACTCTTTTTATATGTGTCTGAATTGGTAGAATTATTGCTAGTCTGAGATCTTGATACAAAATTCTTTTTATGAGACAGAGCATAAGTATCAGATATGACTGCTGCCTCTTCAAGAGTTTTCACATTCTTATCTTCTAAATGTGTTTTCAAATCTTGAGGAACACATTCCTTAAACTCTTCTACCAGGATGACTTGGCGCAAATTAGCAAAGGTTTTATCAAGTTTCTTAGATCTAAACCAGTGATCAAATAAATCTTCTTTCTCTCGTGAAAATTCAACAAATGTTTGATTATCAAACTTTCTATACTTTCTGAACTTTTGTCTATACGCTTCAGGTACTAATTCATATGCTTTTAATATTGCTGCTTTGACCTTCTCATAGTCTGAACTCTCAACTACCCCTAGTGCAGAGTATACCTCAGCTGCTTTGCCAACCAGTACACTTTGTAACATTGTTGACCAAACATGTTGTGGCCATTTAAGATTTTCTGCGACTTTCTCGAATTGGGGAAAATATTTGTCTACAGATTTTTCTTGAAATTTCGGAACTAACCTAATATTTTTTGCTGCGTCAAATTCATTCTTGACAAATGACGGTTCTGGTTGGTGCTGCAATCTTAATTTCTCTAACTCAAAGTGCTCTTGTCTTTCTAATTTGTCTAATTCAAATTTCCGTTCACGCTCTCGTTCTTCTCTCTCTCTTTCTCGCTCTTCTCTTTCAAATCGCATTTTCTCTAACTCTAATTGAAACTGATATTCTGTCATTTTGTAAGAGCCTAATTCTGATTTAACCGTATATTCTGGAAGATCGTATTTTTCAAAAATATTTTCATCTACTAGTTTGTTTGCAACCTTAATTCTAATGTCTTGCTTTTTCTGAGAGGATTTAACATCTAACCCAAAATGCAAACCTAATGCGATCAAGTCATCCTTTTTTAACGTATCAAAAACCTGAACACTTGGCGAACTAAGAAAGTTTGTGACCGAAAATACCATGTTGATTTTTGCTGGCTTATAGTCAAATTTAACAATTTAATTAACAAAATTCTGACAATGAACTGCAAAAGTGCAAGAAATTCTTTATCCCGGACGAGCCCCCAATTCTGTTATGGGTCAGAATAACCCTAAATGCCAGCAAAGATCAATCACACAGTTTAAACTTAACAATAATTTATTTACAGTAATATACAAATCATTAAGTACAAACTTAGCAAGAATCTAAGAATACATACATCAGAGTGTCCGTTGCTGCACACAATGTCCCAGTGAAATTATATCCCAGTAATACCTCAGTGTTGCTTGTACGACAATTGTATCTATGCATCGAGTTGACAGGGTATTTATACAGTATCATAAATCTAGAATATTCTAGAAATTGTAAGTACATGATATTACTGGAAAGTTCTGGACATACACAAAGTTCAGGAATGTTCTAGAAACAATGACCGAACATGTTGACCACTCTGGAATGTTCAAGAAACTTAATGTTACTAATAATAGACATGATGAAACAATACAAATACAACACATCTCACAACACAATATTGAAATTTATAGATGACCTCTAAACTGCAAGTATAATTGCCAAAGTCATGTGACGTCGACATTACATGACAAGTCTAAATAAAAAATCTAAATGTCCCAACATGTAGATGTAAACCTCATTACATTTTTTTATATCACTGAACTCCTAAAAAGAATCGCCCATCCTTATAAAGTATGTATTTTTTATCTTAAAAAATCGCCGATATTTCCATTTGTAACCTTAACTGTGCTGCGTACTTCTTCATATGTAGGATAGATTTTGTTCTCGAGTTCCTGTAAGTCACTTTCTGAATCTTTTGTTTGAGAACTTTGCTTTTGTAGAATATCTGTCACAATATGGTCATGATGTTTTCCAGAGGAAATACAAGTAGAACAGACGGGAATGTCACATTTCTCACCGTAAATTTCACGATGTTTCTGGGTGTGGTTTGGACATTTTGGGTAGTTAATATTAGGAGTAGAAGTTCTGGGCTTGTATGGTACAACGTTATGTCTTTTAGATAAATCAGAGAGATACTACCCTACACAGGCCTTACACAGAATAATCTGACAAAGTTCACAATGACTCTGTAATTCAGCGGTTTGACACAGGTCAAAGACGGGAATGTCTTGGGCACTGTAATCGGGGTCCATTGCTGGGGTTTGGGTCAAACATTTATTGGACTCTGTAATTAAAAATAACAGAAAACTTCAATCATACATTTAAATAATTTAAATGTTTTAGTTTTGTTTGTCAAATTTCCAGATGGTTTCTCAATTTGGAAATGATAGTAGAAAAATACTATCAGTATTAAAAGTCAAACAAATGATTTGTGCACCTTGTTTATTTACTAGGAAGATTATTTCATGCTTACAATTTTGTATTATTCATATCAAAAAGTATAATATGATAAAAGGAATAAAGAAAATAAAAATATTTTATCCCATCTACTGCGCGCATTTCATTGGTAAATAATTTCCGTTTACGCTTTCTTTGATATATTGATTTTTTAAATGGTAAACTGATATCTTAAGATTCATAAATGTGAAAGGAAGTTATTCAAATATATGTCTAACAACTTTTCAATTTGCAAAAATGTTCGATTCAATTAGCAAATATCTTCATCTGAATTTTATACCGTCAATATACAGGTCACGGTAGCCTAGTGGTAGGGCGTTTGCTTCGTGATCGTGAGGCCCGGGTTCGTTTCTCGTTTTCGGCGCCGCGTCATACCTAAGATGTAAACAAAGGTAGTGACTGTTCCCTCGCCAAGCACTGGGAACTAGAAGTGAAAGTCATGGGTCTTTTGGATATGACCTTAAAAATGTAGGTCCCATGTCACGGTAGGCGCTGGCATGATAAAGAACCCTCACTGCTCAATGGCCCTGAGTGCCGAGTATAGGTCAAAATTTGAAGCCCTTCACCTGCATATGGTGACGTCTCCATATGAGTGAAAAATTCTCAAGAGGGACGTTAAACAATATTTACAATCAATCAATCATATACCGTCAATACATATCACCTGTCTGTACAATTTGGAAAAGTCTAACACGTAAATCAGGAACATAACGGACAAATTTTTCAATAAAAAAGTAATCCAATTAGAATTAATTATTTTATAGAAATATTAAATGATTTATCATTGATAATGTTCACATTAAATTGTTTGTTAATATTATCGATTATTATATTCAAAGAAGTCGGTTCACTTTATGCTTAAAATGGCCCCGTAGATATACCAATTTATTGATCAATACTTGATTTTATATTTGAAGTACTAAATTGAAATAGAGACTTGGTGCTTTCATATCCTTCTAAAAAATTTCTTCTAAAAGTCCAGGTCTAGGAGAACTGGCTTTATGAAATTGCAATGTTCTTGAATTTTTAGGAAAACAGGCATAATTGAGTACTTTCAGTGAAGAAAAATAATATGAGCGCACTCTCTGATCTAAAAAGTAAAACTTGTCCATTAATCCTCAGAAACAGTTCTATCATTTACTACTTGCATATCCTAGATCAGAGGTTGCGCTCTATGTTAAATATAAAAAAAAGCTTTAAAAATTGGCCGTTTTTGTAGACTTTTCAGAATATGGGGAAATTGACGCATTTCGTGACGTCATAATGCATTGACTAGCCAGAAAATGACGTCATTTTTTTAGATATGCAGTCACCAAAGATCTCAGTGATATTTAATGCATTGTGAACTAAAACAATGCTGTTTCAGTTTTTCAGAAATTCACAGGGCCAAATGAGGCAAAAGTGAACCTTGTTCTTTGTATATTTTACACATCCATTTCATATTTATGTGCATTTAACAGCTTAGATAGATATTGATGCTTTCTTTTATCTTTGCAGGTATGTTAAGGAAGTAGATGATCATACAATCATATACGCCACCTTAAAAAAATATTTTATTTTTCTTTGACATGTGCAGGTGAACAAAACATATTGCAATGCTGGATCTATGACATGTAGAGGGCTAGGAAGTATTCAATGGAAAATGGTAAAATCTGAAGACAAAAGAACAAAAAAAAAATATCATAGATACATGCATTTACAATCATAAACAGCAGATACAAGTCATGCTATAATATCCAGGAACTTGAAGAGTAAACGTCGGAAAAGCAATTAGAATGCGTCTAGATTTAATCGGCCAATCAAAATCATACTCGTTATCTTATGCTACGAAATATATATTACATCCTATAAATAAGAAAATAAAACGTCCAGAAATGATGAAATGTAGTGAAAAACTAAATTAAATGAATTCGTCTTGTGCATATACATGTTTGCTATCTTAGAAAAACAAGAGAAATCTTCCTTGCCTTCAGCGATGTGATAAAACGAAACTCTTTAATTTACATCAAAGTTAAGTAAACTTAAAAAATATCTTTTTAAATATTAAACAGACGACCTCATGACAACATGTGTTTTATTATTTTTCATATCCCTTTCAGATTCCTTCATATTACTCTTTTTTCTTACAAATTAATTCTCTATTCTTGTCCTATATATTTTATTTTCTTCACTTTACTACTTTGCCACTCAGCCACAAAGAGGTTGTCTCTGGCATCCACACATAAACCCCATGGATACTTTAGATCACAGTTTTTAATGTAATGAAGGAACTGTCCGTCTTGATTCAGGATATGAATATTGTCGTTGAAACTGTCTGCAATCAGAATATTATTCTGGCTGTCTGTGATGATTCCACGTGAATATAAATATTTCCTGGTATTGGAGGCTTGGTTACAAGCAGTGTATCTAAATCGGAGTTTACCAACTTTATTAACAACCACAACTGCGTAGGCACCAGAGTCAGCCACACAGATATCCATGTTTTTATTTACAGTGATGTATTTGGGGGTACCTGATAAAAACAAAGGCTCATTTTTATCATCAAGCTGAATGGTTTGTTTCTCCGTGAAGTCAGAATAACGGACAACTTTTGATTGTTTATCTTTACTGTCCATGATAACTATTACGTGACCGGTGAAAGAAGAACAGACAGAGCAAGGTATCCAGTTCTGCAATCGAATTTCTTCCACAATCTGATGATTCCTTACTTTGAAAATGGATTTTGTTTTAAAGTCAGTATAAATGAGATACCCACTCCTTGTCACTGCTATGTTACACGGATCGTTTCCAGACTTGGTTTGGATTGACTTCAGTAGATTGCCCTGGAGGTTGTAGAGTTTCATGATTTTGTCTTTCCCACTGGTCCAGATTTCTTCATCATTAAGACAGATTACATTAAACGATTCCTTATACCCAGTATCTATGGTGGTGATGAGTTCTTGTTTATCCAGAAGTTGTTTGACAGACGGACAAACTTCAGCTTCTTGAGTAGCATCAATTGTACAGCAATGTTCACCTTTTGTAATGGATAATTCTGACAGAGAACCAAACATTTGATAGAGCTGTTCTGTGTTGATCTGATGAAGAGAAAGACTTGGTAATGAAACATTGACTTTAGGAGGTAATCTTCTAAATTCATCATTCCTAGATTCGTATGTGGATATCATGGGAATATCATTTGAGTTTAGTATTTTTTTCAGTTCCATTATGCACTGCTTAACATCTGAAGTGATCTGTTTTATTTTGTTTTCCTGTTCATTTAGAACAGTCATGTGTTTAGTTTTCATTTCATCAATTTCAGATTTCCGTTTGTTGACAATGATGTTAATTTTTCTATGCCAGTCTTCTTCTTGTTTGATGACAGTTGAGTGCAGTTCCTTATAATGTTCTTCTAAGTTTTCTTTTTCGTTGTTGAAATCTAATGCAATTTTTTCATATGCAGGGTAAATTGTTTTCTCTAGGTCCGCTGACTTTTTTTTATATCCTTTGTTTTTGAAATTAGTTTATCTAAAGCATCTGTTAAATCATGACCTTTATATTCACCAGAGGAGGGACAGATGGAAAAGACATTAAAATCACATTTCTCACAATAAACTTCACAGTTTTTATGGCTATGTTTTTGACATGGCAAGTTGGTTGCAACAGTTCTGTGTTTGTAGGGCACAACATTGTGTCTTTTTGATGAATCAGAGAGATGGTCTCCCCACACACCTTACATAGGTTAATATGACAAAGTTCACAATGACTCTGTGTGGAATCTTCTTTACAAATGTCACATTTAAGGAGTACTTGAGCTCTGTCCGGGAGATCCATATGGGGGTCTCGTCACATGATAATATGAGTAATAGAATAGAATAGAATTGAATTTAATACAGATTGAAATAACAGTTTGCGTGGAATTTCAAATGAAATATAAAAAAGGGATAAAACTGGGGATAATGGTAATAAGAAGAAAAAAAGTTGTCTTAGTTTTCATTGATTTTTTTTTGTTACATCAAATATACTTATTCGATTTAATACAAATAATTCAATCAAATTAGAATATTTGATGTAAGAAAAAATCAATAAAAACTAAGACAACTTTTTGGGACTTCTAATTCCAATTTTTATCCCACTAGCTATCTTCAATAAAATTTAACTGCCGAAATATGAGTGAAATATTGACCACTCGACCTAAAACGAAAAAAAAAAAACAATCATTAAAATCTATGTACTGAGTAGATATTTGTGTGACATTTTATTTCTCACCTTTAATTCAACATGGCCCTTGTGAAAATCCTCTAAAAATGAAAAAAAAACTTCCCGATATTTATTGCACATTATTTCCTGATGCGAGGTCATTTGCTATAAAAACTTGTAAAATTTTGTTCATAATTTAAATCAATAACTGTCGGTATAATGAAGTTTATTCAAACAAAATACGCATAACACTAAAAAGTTAAGTATAGTTATTTAAGGGTTCTCGCAATCTAATAAGGCTATTTCAGTGTACTTTATCTATTTAGTTTTTTTTATACTGTAAAACTTTTAAAATTCACTGTGTCTATATTTCAAAATACTTCCCTTTGTTACCCTTGATCAAAATTCATATATTTCAAAACACTTCCAAAAAAAATATAATTTTGATATATACTCTGTTTTAAACCAATCGTTAGATTACAAGTAGATGATATGCGTATAAAAGAGACTGGTGCAGGAAATTCAAAGGATTTATTTGTATTGTTCTGGATAGGGCCGTGTAGTTCACAAAATATCCAGCATCGAGTAAATAGTCGATAACGCAATAATGCAATTGCGCAATAAAGCGTTTGTGATACGACAATGAAGCACCATCGTCATTGCATTATCTCGCTTTCGCAGCATCGTTATCGCGCTATTGCACTATCACTTCATCTATAGCACTATCGCACCATTGACATGTAAGTCGATGCTCGATGGTACAATAGTGAACTGCATGGCCTTATCCGAATTCCATAGGAAGGGGTCGAGTCTTAAAGACTAAAGGATCGATGGTGCGATAATGAGCGATAAACGATGAAACAGTGGTGCGATAGCTCTTTGATAATGATGCAATGGCTCGGCAGTGCGATGAAGATGATGCAATAGCTCAATGGAGTGAAAATAAACACCGTTTTATCGTCATCGTTCCATCCCACCATCACCGCACTATGTCGCGCCATCGCATCACCGTCATCGCACGATTGCACCGGATAGGGCCATCTAATTCACTATTGCATCATCTCATACTGACGATGAAGCGATAGTCCGATTACGATGAAGAGATGGTTCGACAATGCTTAGACGATTATGCAATTACACGATGGAGCGAGAGCACAGTGCAGCGATGGTACAATGACACAATGGTACGATGACGATGAAGCAATTTTCACTATCGCCTCAATGTTCTTGCACCTTTTTATCTCATTGTCGCGCTATAGCATTATTGTAATCGCGGATCCTCAATCGCACTGCATGTACGCTTCATCGTTATCGCACCAATTACATTATCGCGCCATCGACCTTTAAGTCGATGCTCGATAGTGCGATAGTGAGCTGCATGGCCCTACCAGGCTTCCATAGATGAATGTGTATAAAGGTTTAAATCGCCTTTGGGTGTTGGATCATTGATAATAATGTCAATAATGACACTTATTTCGATCTACATTTTATGTAATGCAAATAAATCTTTGATTCAATAAATGTATTTGAATTTCCCTCGGGATTAATTAATTTTGAACGTAATATGAGGGTTCCAATTCTCGTGATTAACAGATGTACACTGAAAAGTTTAATATATTATAAAACACTTAAAACTGAGTGTTATTGTTTTTTTTACACAGAGAAACAAACCATAATTGAATTGACATATCAGTGAATATAATGACGGAAAAATAGTCAGGAAAATTAACAATTGAATTTCTGAAAAGCACCACCACTAAAGAAAAACGCCTTCATAGTATAGTATATTGAAATCGGCCTTGCTCTATAATTGTAATATCTATTTAAAGTTATTCTAGTAGAAAATAGCAATTTTAGCTTGATTTTCTATTTGAAAAATAAAGAAATCGATATAAATCACAGATACATGTAATTGAATTATGTTGATGCAAAATCAATATACTATACAACTGTGTTTAAATATTCATGATATGAAAATGTGTGAAAGTCTTCTTCCTTAATCGATAATTATTATTTGTTTCTATACGAGTACTGTTAAGAGATGACAATCGCATACATGGAAGAATTGTAAACATTTGTCAATATAACTCAGTATAAATTTCAACTGCCGTTTATACCTCAGTAAAACTATACTTTTAACTAGTAATCTCATTTCTGAGTAGCCCCGTGTGGATCCGGGTTAGAATAGGTCCTCGGTTCCCCCTTGCTTGTCGTAAAAGGCGAATAAATGGGGCGGAGCTTCGGATGAGAAGTTCGGATAAACCGAGGCCCCGTGTCACAGCAGGTTTGGCACGATAAAGATCCCTCCCTGCTCAAAGGCCGTAAGTGCCGAGCATAGGCCTAAATTTGCAGCCTTTCACCGGCAATGGTGACGTCTCCATATCAGTGAAATATTCTGGAGAGGGACGATAAACAGTATACAATCAATCAATCAATCATTTCTGCGTAAGCTCCACGCATTAAATTAATAAAGCCTGCCCAATGGGACTGCTCTCTGGGAATGCTCTCTGGGACTGCTGGGCCCGCTGTGGGACTGCAGTGGGAGTGCTCTGGGCCCGCTGTGGGACTGCAGTGGGAGTGCTCTGGGGCCGCTGTGGAACTGGAAAAGCACTCACAGAAAGCAGTTCCCGGGACTGCTTTGTGTCAGATTGGGTCTAATTGGTACTGTAATGTTTTTATCAGTGTGAATCTAGCATTTACAGATATATTTGACACATTGTGGAGTCCCCACAAATTTTAATCGACCGGTCTGACTGTCATATTTTAGTTCAGTTTTTTCCCTTTCGGAATTATTGAATCCAGCTGAAAACTATGCAGTGTTAAAGATTAGTTTTTCCACATAGAAAATTCATATCTTTAATGTGAGTTTTTCGGCGATTTATATAGAGAGGTACAGATTTTATATTACGTTGTCATTTTCCTTTTCTTGGCAGAGATCATTTACATGTAATAACAGTTTTCTACTCATCGCCTATTTTAAAAGTGAATGTCTTTGCGACGACAATAAGAAAAGCTATTGGGTTTTCTGTAATTAGGAGCTCTTTAATATTACTTTTTAACTGAGAAAAAAAGTTAAAACTTTCCTTTTATCTTGATAAACGGTATGTTGCATTACTCATAAATCCACCCTCGCTCTAAACCATGATCAAATAATATCAAAAAATTACTTAAAATATACATTTGTACCTGTATTGATAAGTACATTCATTGTGTTGACATCCCTTGTACATGTAGATATCTTTAAACAGTTGTTTTAAATGTTAATTCGGCTAAAAGAGAATTTGTTCCCTCCCATAGTGTTTCAAGTCCAGAATTGTTAAAGTCTCTCAAAATAACCAAACAACAAATTGAAAAATATATTTATTGCAAACCAATACATATAAAAAAAATGTTTTCTTTTTCAGTCGCTCTGTAGAACAAATTTGAAAACCTTTTTGTTTTGTCCGAATTTCAATATGATATTTCTTTTACGCCGCCGAATAGGTTGTTTCAGTGTGTTTCATAAGATTTTTTTCGGGTTAATGTTTAAAAAAAAAAGAAGCCTTTTAATTTGGTTAAAAAGTCATAATACATGGAGGGTGCGACCGTGAGGGCGAGCGCTGGTAATTGTTCAGAGTACAATTTATAAACTGCATTTACTTCAAAGAGCAAATGATTATTCAGTCGGTAGAGCACTTGTTCCGTGATCGGGAAGTCGTGACTTCAACCCCGAGAGACCTAAGTCGAAAAAAATGTATTGCAACTGTTCTTTAGCCAAGCTCGGCAGTTGAACAGAAAGTTGTGGATCCTTCGCATGAGATCTTAAAAACCGAGGCCTCGTCTTTACTACAGGCTATGACATGATAAAGATCTCTCACTGCCCAATGGCCCTAAGTGCCGAGTAAAGATCCAAGTTTGAAGCCCTTCTCTACATAAGTGAAAGATTCTTGAATGAGACGTAAAATACATGTATATAACATACAATCAATCAAACAACAAATGACGTTTTGTTTCGAGAACATAGCTTTTATAAGCAATATGTAGTAAGCCCGTGCCCAGTAATAACTGTAGAAAATTCATTTGGATCATTGCACAAAGTCCGAATTTCTCTTTGCCAAAGCGTTTGTTTTAATACCTTGCAGAGTGAAGCCATGGTAAGCGCCGTTCACTTTTACCTCTTTTAGGTTTGATCCAGTGTGTTTCTATTTTCGTACTCTTTGATCATGAATAAGCGTAGATTTAGTCCATTTGTTACACATACGGTTTCCATTTTGAGGCCTCGACTGACAGTAAACTAATCGAAGGTGTCAAATGATTGAAGAATGTTTTAAAACATTCGTACATAAGCTAAACTTGACTGATGTGCTAGTGTTAAAAATGTACAATCGGTCTTTAGAATTTACAGTTCATTCCACAATATTTAGATATACATCAAATACATTACTACAAATAAGATATGTTCAAAGATATGTTAAAAACAAGATTTGTTATAAATATATATTAACAATCTTATGAAAAAGTGTTCAAATACATAGCTATAAACAAGCTCATCATACAAAATTGTTGATAGGTCTCAAAAATTTACAATGCTTTACAAAATATTAAATATATATATTAAAACAACCAACAAACAGAAGTGAGCGAAGTGAAAATGT